TTTTTATCTATTATATCCTCAATTAATTATTTAGAAAAATATAAAACTTTTTGAAAAGATTAAATTTTTAATTCATTCACTGCATAATTAATAGGGACAAAGGAATAATTATTAGGTGAAATGTAGTCATAAAAGAAAAACCCAAAAGGCGTGACGGCCAAGCAGGCGCTGCGTGACGCATTTTTCTCCACTTTTCACGTGAATTTACCCACACCCCCAAAACTACTTACTGCACTGCTACTTTTTTTTTGGTACATAGAGTTGGGTGAAAATATGTTTTATATTTATTAATTTAATGTATAAAAATATATTTAAAAATAAACTCTGATTATTATTTTTTTTCGTTTCTTTCATATTCGTTTTCACTTTTATAAACACATTATAAAATTAAAGGTTGGATAAGTTAGAAGTTGTGACATGAAGTTGAATAAAATATGGTTAATCATTGTAATTTAGTAATTTTTTATATAATTTTCACATTATATTATATATTATTTTTTGGCCTCGATGTGGTACAGATACTCGAGAATAGCCAATTTTTTATTACATTTTAAAATATTTTAAGTTGTTGATTTATAATAATTTGTAATTTTCACATAATTTGTGTTACTATCTTTATTTTTATTTATGCAATGTTGATGGAATTTTGGGAGATAGACCAATTTTTAATAATTGTATTTAGATATTTTAACTTGTTAATTCTCGTTATTATGATTTATAATATCTTTTGGATAATTTCTAAATACATATAAAATATTTAAAGTAATAATTTAATATCAAATGACCAAATTATCCTTTATTAAAATCTAATGACTAAAAGCACCAACGTCGTCGAAGACATATGTGGTTTTAATTACTTATATGTAGTAGTAAAGTAATTAGTAACAAGATATCAAGTCGGGTCAACAATTAAAAGATAGAAATCGCACTCAAATAGAGATTTGAGTGTCAAAGAAAAAAAATGTGCAAGCTAATTTATTCCAACTTCTAAATTAAAAAATGAGATCCGAATATGTAAATATTAAATTAGCATTGCAAGTACAAAAAATATATATATCAACATTACAAATCTGACTTAAAAGCAAGCCTAGTGTGTAGTCGTACTTAGACGAAACGGTGTACATTTAATTGGAATGCCGCAATTTTTTAATTTTGACTCTCAACACCAAAAAAAAAAATATTCACTCCGTTTACTTTTACATTTTCAATATAAATTTGACACATCTTTTCTTATAAATTTTAGTAATATAGATAGCTAAAAAGCTAAATAGTTATTTATATCTTAATTTTTCAATTTAGATAAATATAAATATTTATCTATTTATTTAAATATGACAAATGAAATGGACGGAAGTAATATAAATTTGTACGAAATAGGATAAAAGCAGAAAATATTGTAAACCACTTAATTGTTTTGATTGATAATTGAGATGATAGAAAGCAACTTTAGTCTTACAAGTTTATTTTTGGGTCACATGTCATGAAATAGTCTCATCTACATTTTCACGAGTTTCTTCCTGTTCAGATTGTTCACGTTTTTTCGTATTTAATCAATCACCATTATAATCCCACTACTAATCCCTGATTGCCACTTACGTAATCACGTTTGTATTATAGCTCTAATCCATTTTCACAACCACCGAAATTAACGGGGCTATATTAGCAATGATTAAAGTTGCAATTGCAGTTTAATATTTTTATAGGGGAACAAGAGAGACTTTGTTATAAACACCCTTACTTTCAATCTTAAGATTATGAGTTCGAGTCATTAATGATAAAAATGTAAAGATATATATATCGTATTCAAGATTAGTTAAGAATTATAATTTCACGACATAAATTTATTGTAATATTTTTATTTTTTTAGAAAACTTTTTAACATCAAAATAATCAAATTTGTTCTTGTACTATTTGAAACTGAACTATTTTAGATTTACCAAAGTTATAATAGATAAAAAAATAAATAGTGGAAGATAAAATTAAGTAATTCCCCTTTTTTTTAATAACAGATGAGTAAGTTTAAACTTTTTCCCTTTGACAAAATATTACTGTAATTTTTTTTTCTTTCTGAAAATACACAAGTCTTACATGAATTATGAACTTAACAAGTGGGACCCACATGGGGTCCACATTCTTACATGACTGAAAACTATAGGTTAATTTATAATATTGTTATATTATAGTAATAAAAAGAATAGAGATTAGGGTAGCCCCACATCTTAATGAAGCACATTGGTTTAGGAATAAATTACAGGAGCCTTAGATTCTACTCAATTTGGCCTACTGGTGTGTTGGAAAAAATCAAATGCCTAATTAATATTAATCCCTTTCTTTTGTTACCTAGGATTTGCTTTTCACTTTAGCCCTTTTTACTTCATCATAAATTCACATGATATTATCACTTTCTTGCTCATTGAGGGATGAAAATATTATTAAAAAAATTAATTAATAAATAAAGTGTTAGTCTATCTGAAATAATTTCTATATCTTAAAAGATAAAAATAAAATTTATATATATTTACCATCTTTAGACTAATTTATAAAACTGTATGAAATATGTTATTATTATAAATAAATAAAAGTGAAATTAAAGAAAAGTTATATGCCCGTTTGCGGTATCAAACAAAAAACACTAAATTATTATACTTTATATTTATATTTTTTCTATAAAATTACGCATGCATGGCATTACTTATTATCGGAATTGTCGACAATAATATTCGTTCATCCGTCCTAATTTGCTTGGCTTTTACTTATCGATGGTCTATTTGACCAACTGTCATAGCTAAACAAATTATAGAGTACTATTTTAATTCTTATGTTTCTTTTATTTATTTAATACACACTTTTTTGTCAGCTTTAAAATATGTTTATATATTTTATAACTCATTAATTTTATTTTATTATATTTAAGATTATGGAGGATCTTTTACCCCTGCACTATTTAATAGTGTATTTTACTATTTAAAATGATGAATATTTATGATGTTCACGTAGGCACATATATACCTTTATAATACACTGTTAAATAGTACAGGGGGTAAAAGGTCATTTCCAAAGTTTGGTATCGTAACAACAATTTCGATCAAAGTTGGAGTATTTTTCAGACTTTTTTCCCTAATTTAAATAACTCTCCACATTTATTAAACCAACTATAAAAGTGAAAAAATAAAATAATAGTTACTTCTTCTCTACTCCTTCCATTTCAAATTAATTGAATTGTTGATTTTTTTATTTTTTTCAAACTAACTTAATTGTTCAAATTTCAAGACTACTTTTAAAATGTTCTTCCAATTTTACCCTTCATTAGTTAGTATTGGTATTAATTATTAATTAATGTTTAGTTATTTGAATCATAAATTTGACAATAGTTAATAAGGGTAAAAATGGAAAGTTATGCCTAATTTCTGTCTTAATCTTTTCTTAAAGGGTGTGAAACACCTCAATAATTTAATTAATTTGAAATGAAGGGAGTATTTTTTTTAAATCAATAAGTATTTTAAACTAATTATATTTAATAAATATGATAAATAAATTGAACAAAGGATGTACTAGTCATCAACTGATCATGATTAGCTAAAGATGAGAATATGGATTAGCAGAATTGGATTAAAATTATAGATATAAGAGGGGCAATTTGTGATTTAATTCAAATAGGGAAATACTATCAGATCAGATCTGATAGTAATCCATAATGAGGACGCATGTGATTTTTCATTCCATTTTACAAAGTTAATGATATGATTATTTCGAAAAGTGAATAAATATTTTGAGATGGAGAGAGTTGATGGTGATGGTGACTCGTGCTTATCATAAATAGAGAGAAATATTATATTAGGAGTGTTTTGGTATGGTTAAAATTTTTTATAGAAAAATAAATGAATATCATACTTATTTTTTATTTTGTTACTTAATAAAACAATTTATTATTTTTAAAATATTTATTTATAACGTAGATAATATTATGAAAGGTGAAATATGGTTAAAGGGTGTGGGGTGGTAGGATAGAGGTTACGAGGGTAATGGTGAATATGAAGTTTGATAAAGACAGGTCATAAAATTACTCATTGATATATAAAATTAAAATTATATATATGTAAATTTTTAATACATATTTCTACATATCTATGAACTATCTGAATGAAAATTCTAATTCTGCATCACGGATCAAAGAGGGTAGGACACAATTATTTTCCCTCACTTTTTCTCATACTTTAAAAAAAAATTACTCTATTTTCCTAAAGAAAATTTACAATCTCGATTCTCTTTTATTTGTCACTTATTCTTAAAATATATTTTCATTTAAATATTGGTCACTTTTGACATATCTAAAAATAAATAAATTATTTTTTCATGTTTTAACCTCAATATTAAATATTTATTATCAAATTATTTTTCAAAACCTAATACTAAATATCATTTAATAGGGTATAGTGTAACCTATATCAATAATTAATAATTGTGCTAAATCAACCGACAATAAAATAAAAATGAACGGAAGAAGTATTTTATACATAAAAAATTTGACCAACCTAAAAGGAAAAAAAACTCTCAACCAAAGGCACAAAAATCTAGATAGGTGCTATTTAAAGTGTGCACATGTTTTTTCATCCTCTCTTAACCACGTGTCAAAGTTAAATTTCCATTTACAAAAATTAAAAATAAATAAGGGAAGTGTTAAATAGTCAAAAAATTTGACCAGAATATTAAAAAACTATAATATTTTTTTTATTTTAAAATAAACTAATCTTTTTTCCATTTTTTACTAAAAATGTGTTAAAGTTAAAAAAGATAAAATAACATAACTAAAATATCATTCTAGTCAAATTTTAACTAAATTTTCTTAACCGTAAATAAAAGTACTCAATGGCGACTGTTCCCCAATCACGAAAAAACATGTTCGTATCTAACCCAACCATGGTTAACTATTTTTAAACATTTAAACTCTATCACATACATACAGTTGGGATTTAGAACAAACCCAAAAACTTTGCCTCTCCTTAGCTTCTCTCTCTTTTACTTTGCAACAAAATAGAGAAAACATCATCTTTCATTTTTTTTCCTTAGAAAACCACAAATCTCTCTTTATTGAGGAAAAACTATAATAATTCTCCCAATTGAAAACATCAGTTTTGTTGCAGAGCTCAAAAGTTTTGCTTGATTCTGTTTCTTAACTGCAACTGCAGTGCAGAGTTACTGGTGTGTATTTTTTTGCTGCTTTTAACCAATCTTTGTTTCTTTTTTTGTCCATATATATGCATTTTTATGTCAAAGTTTGTTTCTTTTCTGGGTATTTTCTAATAGTTACTGATACCCTTTAGATTTTCAAGCTTTTGAGATCTGAAATTTGAGGTATGGACAATTGGGTTTTCAATAAAAAGAAGAAGATCAATTGTTTTGAATCAAGTTAAGATGGGTTTATTTTAGATTGGTTAATTGGTGTTGTAAAATGTGTTAAAGGTTGAAGCTTTGGAGAAAAAAAAGAAAAAGAATTGTCTTTTTAGTTCTTGTTTCATCTTAGGAATATAAAATTTGGAATCTTTTTTTGGGTGTTTTGTAGTTGAAGGGATTTTATTTTACTAGGTAGATAGATATGGTTACTGGGAATATGTTGTGGAGTGGTGAGGATAAAGCTACGGTGGCGGCTGTTTTAGGAAAGGAAGCTTTTGAATATTTGATGTCTGGCTCTGTTTCAGCAGAATGTTCTTTAATGGCAATAGGGAATGATCAGAATTTGCAGAATAAGCTTTCAGATCTCGTGGAATGCCCAAACGCCGCTAACTTTAGCTGGAATTATGCCATCTTTTGGCAAATTTCGCGGTCTAAGTCAGGGGAATTGGTGCTAGGGTGGGGGGATGGGTGTTGCAGAGAGCCTAAGGAAGGAGAGGAGCGTGAGGTTAAAAGGATTTTCAATCTACGCCTCGACGATGAGGGTCAACAAAGGATGAGGAAGAGGGTACTTCAAAAGTTGCATATGTTATTTGGTGGAACAGATGAAGATAACTATGCTTTTGGATTAGATAGAGTTACTGATACTGAAATGTTCTTCCTTGCCTCGATGTATTTTTCGTTCCCTCGAGGAGAGGGAGGTCCGGGGAAGTGTTTTGGATCAGGTAAGCACTTGTGGTTATCAGATGCATTGACATCTAATCTAGAGTATTGTGCTAGATCTTTCTTAGCTAAGTCTGCTGGTATGCAAACTATTGTTTTGATTCCAACTGATGTAGGAGTTGTGGAATTGGGGTCAGTGAGATCAATTCCGGAAAGTTTGGAGCTATTACAGAATATAAAATCTTGCTTCTCGTCGTTTTTGTCACTTGTTAGGGATAAGCAAGCAGCAGGTATAGCAATTGTACCTGAGAAAAAAGAGGGAAACAATCCCCGCCTTTCCAACTCAGGCGCTGTTACTGAACGAACAGACGGAAATCCTAAGCTATTTGGGCATGATTTGAATTCGGGTACTCACTTTAGGGAAAAACTTGCTGTTAGGAAAGCGGAGGAGAGGCCATGGGACACCTACCAAAATGGTAACAGAATGCCATTTGTGAACGCACGGAATGGTTTAAATCCTACTTCTTGGGCTCAATTCAGTAATGTGAAGCCGGGAAAACCTGTGGAGCTCTATGGTCCTCCAACCCCAGGACACAACCTAATCAATGGTGGAAGGGAAGAATTCCGCTTGAACAACTTCCAACATCAAAAGCCAGCTGCTAGAATGCAAATTGATTTCACCGGAGCAACCTCGAGACCCATTGTTTCGCCAGCACACACTGTTGAGTCTGAACATTCAGATGTTGAAGCTCCGTGCAAGGAAGACCGTGCAGGCCCAGTGGATGAAAAGAGGCCTCGAAAACGTGGAAGAAAGCCAGCCAACGGAAGGGAAGAGCCTCTCAATCATGTAGAGGCAGAGAGGCAGCGGAGGGAAAAATTGAACCAGCGGTTCTATGCCTTACGAGCTGTTGTTCCGAATATCTCCAAGATGGACAAAGCTTCCCTCTTAGGGGATGCCATTGCTTACATAACTGAGCTGCAGAAAAAACTTAGAGATATGGAATCTGAGAGGGAGCTGACATTAGGAAACACTTCAAGGGATGCAATCGCTTCAGAAGACAGCCCGAGTTCAGAGATTCAAATCCGAGGACCCAATATCAACATAGAAGCTGCCAATGATGAAGTCATTGTAAGGGTGAGCTGTTCACTGGAAACCCATCCACTATCTCGAGTCATCCAAATTTTCAAAGAGGCACAAATCAACGTTGTTGAATCAAAACTTTCCGCGGGGAATGGTACTGTGTATCACACATTTGTCCTCAAGTCTAGTGGATCTGAACAGCTGACTAAAGAAAAGTTGCTGGCTGCATTTTCCAGTGAATCAAACTCGTTAAGGCAACTTTCACCGGTAGGGCAATAACAGTATCATGTTTTTTTTTTTTTTATATATATATATATATACTCCAGTTGTTAGGGATATAAATGTAGTGAAGAATCCATATCGTAGTTTTTATTTTCTTTTCTGCAGAAAATTTCGTATACATCAGTTCAAGATAGGTGGAAAATAACTGTCTATTGACAAAGTAGTAGCAAATTTTCCGTGACTGTCTATAGTAGTACACATTTTCTATCATAATCAAGGCTAAGGTTAATTAATTACAAGCTTAACTACCATTAGCATACTGTTCATCATTTATATCATCGAAGATCCAAGATGCGCGAAAGAATTCTTGATGTAATCTATGTTTTCCCCTTCCTTCTTGAGAATCCTAGTTTATCGTTTTGGGGTTTATTGATCTTAGTTGATGATACATGCATGAAAATGATATGACTTTGTTAGTTGAAGAATTGTACTGGAAAAATATAATTGCAGTGTAAAAGGTAGCAGTTGGAAGAATTTTCTCCCCTTTATTTGGATAGAGTAAAGTGTGGTTATATGTTTGTTGTAGAGTAATTGTTGTTATTTATTGATCATGACAAAAACATGTGAAGGATAGAGTTGGTAGTCGTGGCAAAGTGGGAAAAAATAATTTTCAAAGAGAAGTAAGTGACCACAACGTTTTGAATATGGCATATGGGGTCTGCAGTGCAGTGGGCCTACACCAACAATTAGTACATGTTCATCATTAATAATAGTACTACTCTTTTTCTTTTCTTTTCTTTTTTTCCTCTCTACTTGCTTTTTCTAACAAAATTTGGAATTTGGATCTTGCTACTTAATTTTATACAGTATTAGGCATATAGTTCAAAAAAATTTCTTAACTTTAGTTGCTACTATTTGTTGTCAAACAACTTATATTTACTTGAAAAGTTTTAGCACTCTTAGTCAGATTTTTCGCTACGGAAAAAAAAGAAGAAGATAAAGATGGATTATTTTTTTTCTTTAGTGCTTTTGGCCATGAAGGTTGTTGAGGTATCTGTATACATATTTTTCAGAAAGCAACAAATAGTAAAGTTCCAAAAAGATAAGCAATTTAGTAAACAAAGAATTTGTAATAGGAAAAAGGAAAAAAACAAACACACACCGAAAAAAAGATGTAAGATCCTGTTTGAGAATATTAAGGTACGAGCTGACGCAGAAATCATTCAAAGCTGTCTTAAAAGTTTCAGTGTTGTGACGTGCTTTTTCACAAACATCTTCTTGATCTCTTGTGTGGTGGTAGAGCCGTTTATGGGAAAATGTATATTGAGAGCTATGTAATTGCCTTTTTTTTTTTTGGTTATGTTTAATCGTAATCATTTAGATCTCGATTTATAAATTTAAATTATTATTAAGATGTAATTCATTCGCAAAATTGGTGTTTTATCACAATCCATCCATTTTCATTTCATCAGTTCAGCTAATTACAAAAAAATGGCCTTTACCACTTACCATCAATATTAATCACCATTTATAATTTTCAGATTACTCCCATAATAATCATGTATCGATAATCACCACCATTATTACTAGTGTTACCTATATGGAGTACTACTCTTTATTTAGTTTTGCTATATCTTTCCTAAATCTACTTAGTTGGACGTTATCATCTTCATTAACCATTATTTACAATCTTCTCGGCTAATTATTATTACCATACTAATCATCAATCAGTATCGACAATCACCATCATCTAAAAGGAGAGAGACATGAACTTGGCTGAAGAAAAAAAAAGAGAGGTTGGAACTAATGGTGAGAACATTCTTGTAGAGGAAGTTATAGTACTGTGAAGTACAACAGTTTACCAACAACAAGTTGGTGTCAAATGCGTGTGGACTATTTTAAAGCTCCTTTAAGTCACAGTTTTATTTGAAAAACATGTCAATTCACACTACCCATCATGTTCATATTAGGTGGTGTTTTTGCCTTCTTATTTTCATTTAAAATTAGTGGTGTTTCAAGTAATAAAAAAAATAAATTAAAATAAATATTTTAACCTTATTTAATTAGATCGGTAGATTTTTATTTGAACAAGAAACTATTTGTTGTGTTAAAGGAAACTAAAAAACTCCCACCGTCTCAAGCGATTTGGTGTGATTCTCTTTTATCCATCACTTAAGAAATAATTAATTATAAAAAAAATTAAACTATTCTACTCTTATTTATATTTTAAAATACTCATATTTACTCTTTTATGTGTTATCTTTAAGGTGTTTGTAGTGAACAGTTACTAGTACAAGTAATGAAAACATAATCAATTTTATCTTAAATTTCTAAAATGATAAGTAAATAATTTTAAATAACTGTATATCGAATTCAAGATAAATAAGTTGTGATGGGAGATAAGATACTGTTTAACTAAGAATAAACTAGTAAAAACAGCAGTTTCTTTTTAGCACTTAAAATTCTAGGAATCAATCTATTTTGTTGAAAAAAAATACAAATCTTGTAAGCAAATATTTTCTCTCTAATAAAAAGTGTATTATTAGCCAGATACTACTTTCTTCATCCACTATATTAAAATATATATTCATATTTTATTACTTAAATACTAATTTATTTTTATTATTAACTATAAAAAAAATTCAAAATATTAAATTTATTATATTTGAAAATAATATACATACCTTATCATTTTATTTATTATCCATTAAAATATATCAAATCAATATCGTACGGATAAAGATGAACAATAATTTTAGGTAGGGCAAGAAACTAAAGAGGAGCCAATGGCTATGGATGAGGATCATAGAAAATTGTTCACATATTGTACAGACACACGCGATTAAATAAAGAAATAAAAAGAAAATAAAGAATGTTTTCACTACGCATCATTTAAAAAAGACAACATATTATCAATCAGAATCAAATTTTTCATTAATAGCGGTAGAATACTATTAAAAAAAATCACGTCCTGCCACATGTGATTTGGTACCTTAACTTATACTCCCTCTATCTCTAATTACTTGTTCATTTTTTCTTTTTTAGTTATCTTTAATTACTTGTCTATTTTGACAAATCAAGAATGAACAATTTTTTTTTATCTATTATACCCTCAATTAATTACTTTAAAAAAATGTAGAATTTTTGAAACTCTTAAGTTTTTAATTCATTCACTTCATAATTAATAGGGGTAAAATGATAAAATCACTATATTCAATCATTATTTTCTTAATAAGTATATCAATTCAAAAGTGGACAAGTAATTAGGGACGGAGTAACTTATAAGAGTATAATCATGCGGCGGTGATTCATATACAATACAATTTCTACAAGACTTATTCCAAGAAATTATCATTAACGTGTTATTATTTTGGACAGAAAACAAAACGTTTTATTTGTTGTTTGGATGAGAAAGAATTAAGAAAATGAATTGTTCTTGTCAAATAGGTAGGCAGACAAGTCAAGAAAAAGACCCAGTTACTTTTAGTTCATTTAATTTAAACTACTCTAAATGAATAAATAATATTATAATTTATAGAGAGTATTGTATCTCAAATTTAACACTCAGAAAAGGAAAATGTCAATTAGATTTTGGACCTTTTTTTAAAAAATAAAAAATAAAAAAAATACTTGGATGGTACATTTTAATAAATAATTATTGATTTTAGTGATACTTTTTATTTATTATCATTTATAGCAATGAATAGTAATACTATATTAAATCTGCAATATATATTAAAAGTAAATTATATATGCAATATATATGTATTATAACTGCTTTTCAAAATATATAAGAAATTGACACATTGTTTAACTAAGAATAAACTAGTAAAAACATCAGTTTCTTTTTAGCACTTAAAATTCTAGGAATCAATCTATTTTGTTGAAAAAAAAAACAAATTTTGTAAGCAAATATTTTCTCTCTAATAAAAAGTGTATTATTAGCCAGATAATACTTTCTTCATCCACTATATTAAAATATATATTCATATTTTATTACTTAAATACTAATTTATTTTTATTATTAACTATAAAAAAAATTCAAAACATTAAATTTATTATATTTAAAAATAATATACATAGCTTATCAGTTTTTTTATTATCCATTAAAAGATATATCAAATCAATACCATACGGATAAAGATGAACAGTACTTTTAGGTAGGGCAAGAAACTAAAGAGGGGCCAATGGCTATGGATGAGGATCATAGAAAATTGTTCACTTATTGTATAGACACACGCGTTTAAACAAAGAAATAAAAAGAAAATAAAGAATGTTTTCACTACGCATCATTTAAAAAATATATATATATTATCAGAATCAAAATTTTCATTAATAGCGGTAGAATACTATTAGAAAAAATAACGTCCTGCCACATGTAATTTGGTACCTTAACTTATAGTAATTTATTATATAAGAGTATAATCACGGCGGTGATTCCAATACAATACAATTTCTACAAGACTTATATTCAAAGAAATTATCATTAACGTGTTATTATTTTGGACAGAAAACAAAACGTTTTATTTGTTGTTTGGATGAGAAAGAATTAGGAAAATGAATTGTTTTTGTCAAATAGGTAGGCAGACAAGTCAAGAAAAAGACCCAATTACTTTTAGTTCATTTAATTTAAACTAGTCTAAATGAATAAATAATATTATAATTTATAGAGAGTATTGTGTCACAAATTTAACACTGAGGGAAGGAAAATGTCAATTATATTTTGGATTTTTTTTTTTTAAAAAAAGGAAAAATTATTTGGATGTGTACCTTTTGATAAATAATTATTGATTTTAACGATATTTTTTTATTTATTACCATTTATAGCAATGCATGGTAATACTATGTTAAATCTACAATATGTATTACAAGTGAATCATGTATGCAATATATATGTATTATAACTGTCTTTTTTTAAATATATTATGCTTATTTGAAAGAAATTGACACATTATATTATAAGCATATTAAAATGTGTGATAAATGTATTATCCATCAATAAAACTTGTATTATAAGTGAATAATAAATTGTTCTTTGTAATATGTATTAAAATTGTATTAGAAATGTATTAAAAGTGATCAAGTGGAAAAAAATATTATTTCTATAAATGGTAAATATTTTTTTAATATAGTATATTTATGTAAGTTTCCCAACAAAAAAAAAATTAGAGTCCAACTAATTCGAATTTGAGCCGTGTAAGACCCGATTCAGAGGAAAACTTTCACTACTA